GTTATTCTTATTGTTATTAGTCGCATTATTAGTATTATTATTATTATTATTATTATTATTTTTTTAATTTTTCTGTTGAAAATTCTTAAGACGACCTGAAATTCTATTTCCATCTTTAATTATGAAAATTTAAACTCCAAAACTAGTTCAAAACAAGTAGATCTATGAACATATGAAAATTTTAAAAATAGATGGTTTAGATAATGTGTTGCAAGTGCACTATTTTTGATACTCGAAATCGTTTTCTTTTCATATTAGTACATCTCGATGTCGAGAAGATCAATTAGAGGGTTTTTTTAATAATAAACTAACATTTTTCGATGGATTTTTGAGGTGCAACTTTAATTCTCCATTTTAAGATTGCAACCATAGGGTTAATGCGTGGGCAAGTATGGTCCACTAGTTTATGTAGAGTGTGTATATGGTTGCATACCTTTGTTAACTAAGAGGAAGAGAGGGGGTTGCAAGGGGCCTGGCTAGGGTTGGCCCGAGCCTTGTCTAGAGATTGGTTAATGAGTCCCGGCCGGGCTTCACGGATATCAATTTTCTTTCTAAATTCACAAAAATAGAACAAGGTGGGTCGCACTAGGGCATAACTAGCCACGGACTCTAGAATCAGGCCAGAGACTGATGGCCCATTTTCACCATTGAGAGAGAGAGAGAGAGAGAGAGAGAGAGAGATTCTTAGATATTGCTTTTCTTTGAAGTGCTAGTTTAATACGTGTTTCCAGTTATTAGTGTAATCAAATGTGGCAATGAGAGGGACAATTTATTTTCCAAGTATGCTTAGGGTGGAAAGAGAGCAAGAGATAGATCCTTTGATGATATTGTTTCTCCTTTTCTTTTTTTTTTGCCTTTTTTTTTGGACTTTGTCATCTTAACATTAGTTTTATATAAGAAAATTTATCAGAGTACCAAATAGAGATGAAGTATTTAATTTTTGGTACTCTATACTATGAGATCATTTGCCTTTGGCATAAGGAGGAGACAATTACTAACAACCATCCATTGCGAAATTTGATGGCTTGGGTATGTCACCAAGCTCGAAAAAATATCTTTTGACTTTTGAGCCTAGTAGTTGGAATACATACAACTACCCAATTTCACATCCAATTATCACATATTAATTATGTCCTCCATATATTAAACATAATGGAGTGGTTTGTATAAGACTGAGGCTCTAAACAATCAAAGTAAGACACACTTTCAAATAGTGTCAAAAGATGTCGTTTCAATGCTGGATGTAATGGCCAACAAATTTATTGTCATATGCAATTATAAAATTTAAAGCTAACAAAATAGTATAGATCCATGTTGGAAAAATCAGGCGATCTAATCGGTAACCACACAATTAGATCAGAACTGGCCAATGTCCAATTCTAGTTTAGGGCGGTTTTGGTAATTGACCAATATTTAAAAAATAAATTCAAAAGAATGTATATAAAATCCCCAAAATAAAGAATTTAATTTGTAATACATTTTTTTTTTTTTCTTTACCTTATGGTAAATATTTGGAAAAATTAC